CATGTTTTTTCCTTCCAGTGCATCTGGTCTTCTTAATTATTTGCCTTAGGCTAACTAGAAGTCTAGTTCTTTACGATGCAGGCAGTTCATATCCTGTGTAGCAGACAAGCCAACTAAAGCCCAAAACATCATAAGCATCCTAAGCAAACCAAAAGAGCTAGTAGCACCAGAAGGAAAAAACATGAGCCCTCTGCAACATACAATGTAAGAACTGCAACCACCACTATGTAGGACAAACAGGCACAAGACTGGTAGAACGCATCCATGAACCCCAACTGGCAGTCAGAAGACATGATGAAAATTCTTTAATTTCACAATATAGAGACTGATTTAACCATAGTTTCAATAGTTTCAAGCCCAAAGGAGAAAAAGACTCTAGCACACCAATCCTCAAACTACGGCCTGGATACAACCTGCCAATGCAAAGTATCTGGCCCACAGAGTGGTGGGATTCAGCCCCGCCCCTCGCTCCGCCCCTCACCATAGGCCTTATCTTCCAGTGAGCATCCACACCAGCTTCTGGTAGGTTATTTCACCGGTTGAGCTGCAGTTCTGATCACACTGCTCCGGTCGAAGGCTGCAGGGGAGGACTAGCTGACTGAGGGGTGATCTCCCCAGTACAGCCACATGATCCAGGGCCAGTGGGAGAGGGGCTACTGCTGGTTTGAAAAGCAGCTCTGCTGCCAGCTGTAAAGTAGTGCTTTAAAGGTCTTTAAAAACATTCTTTCAGGATGTTTTTCACAGCCATATAATCCAGGGCCAGTGGGGGAGTAGGGGAGGAGCAAGAACAGCAAGGACAAAAGCAAAATGGATTGCTAAATTGGCCATGCCCACCCAGTCACATGACCATCTAGCCACGCCCACCCAGCTGATCTGGGCCCCCAACCAGTACCATGAATCGGCCCCGTTTAAAACGTTTGAGGAACCCTGCTCTAGCTCCTCTCCACTAGTAATCAGCAGTCAGGTCAGCATAGCTTAACTCTAAAGTTAACTTCAGCCCAACAATCAAGTAAGCAATATCCCAATCAAGTAACTGCCAAAGAGCCATCAGTAAATAGCCCAACCAAAGAATCTCTAAGACCGCCCCCCACCCACAGAGATAGGCAAGACACAAGAATATAAACTGATAGCAACCAGCACTCCTTACCAGCACTGATATTACCTAGATAGGGTAGTAAAATGTCTGTAAGAAAAAAGCAAGCACAGAGACCACCCAAGGACCCTTTTCAACCCTGAGCTACAAAAATTGTCCTTTATTAGTTCACATCCTTCTGTCAATTTATTTGCCAGACTTTCCTATTTCTCCTGAAAACCCTCCCGCCGCACCCCAATATCCTTTGAAAAAAGACATCTAAAAATGAATTTCTAGCAGGCATTTGGTTTTTGAATCTCCTTGGAAGCGTTTAATATTGGGAAATGACTTTTGTACATTGTCCAAAATCCTTGGATGTGCTTTAAATATTGTGAATAAACAAATAAACAGAGAAGAAAGAAAAAAGCCCAGTCTTCACTTTCGTTCTCCTCTAAGAAGAAGCCATGTCATTATTGAGGGCCTTATATGTTGTTTGAAGATGCAACAGGAAAAATACAAGAGGAGCCATTTGGATGAATCTAAGAAATTATAGTATTTTCTATCATTCTGTAATTATCATGTAAGACAAGGAGAGCTGTGACACTCACACAATTACAGCATATTTTGCATATGCTGATATTTTGCTTGATAGGTATAAGCACCAGCAAAATCTAATATTCTAATAAATCATGTTCCAAAGGGTCAAGTTAGTTGAAAGAAATCAATTGCCAGCTGAAATATTTGGATTTTAAGTCTTTTTTAAAAAATAAATAAAATGTGGACGTATTCTGTTAAAGGAAAGACAGACAGCACGTATCTAAAGAATCTTTTGGCTCTTTAGGAACCAGAAGTCTGGTTCATTCCTGGTTTCTGGAATGAAAAGAAGGGTAAGGCAGACAGATGTTGCAACAATGCCATAGTCTTTTTTATTAGTATTCCGTAGGGTAACAGTCAAGGAAATGAAGATGGTGAAGAGGAGAATGGGAGGACAGGGTGGAGACAGATTTAACAGCTGCTAGTTTTTTCTCATCTATAGCCTACAAAGATAAAATGGACCGTAACTTCCTCCTTTTTTGATTAATAGCTGGTACAAGGGCCAGAACTCCACTGATTCTTGGGCTAACAAATCTCTATTTTATGGTCTTACCTTAGGATGTTTTCTATGATTTCCTGTTGCATTTGAAAAGCTGCAATCCAGAGCTTGTGCATGTAGGATTTTACTGTTCCCATTTGTAAAATATTCTATTTATACATAAGCATTTGCATATTGAATGCTTTATTATTTTTTATCAGCTAAAAATAAAAGAGTTCATGTTTGCACACTGAGGGATTTGCAAATAGCTTGCATTGTTCTAAAATCAACGGCCACAGGTCTAAACTTTTACACTGCAACCTCCTGTCATACAAATCTAAATTTCAGTTTATCTACTCTTATAAAACAGGGAATTTTGAGTCTCGACTACTGCATTGGCATTATTGGTGGCAAACCTAAGCAGTCATATTACTTCGCTGGTTTTCAAGGTTAGTGTTTTAACATATCCTTTTTTTTTCTTTTTCTTTTTAACATGTCATGTCTCTCCCCCTCTATCTCAATTCCAAGAGCTTTGGAGTTATTATAAGACCCACGGAAAGAAAAAATGATTAAAACAGCAGAGATTTATTTATTAATTTATCAGACCCACAAAAGTAATAGCAATAGCAATAGCAATAGCAGTAGACTTATATACCGCTTCATAGGCCTTCCAGGCCTCTCTAAGCGGTTTACAGAGAGTCAGCATATTGCCCCCAACAATCTGGGTCCTCATTTTACCCACCTCGGAAGGATGGAAGGCTGAGTCAACCCTGAGCCGGTGAGATTTGAACCGCTGACCTGCTGATCTAGCAATAGCCTGCAGTGCTGCATTTAACCACTGCGCCACCTTGGCTCAGTCCAGTCATTTGTCACTTGCTCCATCTTCTAATTAGATTCTGTAAAAACGTACATTTGATTTCCTTGTTGCACAAACAAGGCATAATTTATCTCTTGCATCAAACTCCCCGAGCCTTTCCTTGCCTACCACCTGGCAGATCCTAGTTATGTACGTATGCTTTAGTAGTTTAAATGGTGCAAGTTGATGATCAAATGACAAGCAAATATGTTCTTCCTGTCACAATGAGGAAATACGATGCATTTTTCATATGTAAACTCAAGGTATATAATTGTGTGTTTGTAAAAGTAATTTTATCTCCAAAAATTAAATGACAGTCTTATCACTTTATCAAAATTCTGCTTCTACAAGCATCTTTGATTATGCAGAAGTTAATCCGTCCTGCAAAAACCTCAATGAATATACGCTGGCAGACAGTGACTTGCTGAGGGGACTCTTACTCCCTCCCCACCCCTCCTGTTCTGCATAGAAATTGGATTGTAAGCAGTGTAATAATATGGTGTTTTTTGAATTACTTGTCTTTTGTTTTGTCCTTGTAGATGACAGCTTGATTTACATGGATCCTCATTATTGCCAGTCTTTCGTAGATGTCAGCGTAAAGGATTTCCCCCTTGAGGTAGGATGGATAAAGAACAGCACTGTTTGCTTTGTGGATGAATCAAACACTAATTATTAAATCATCCCTTCATTCTTCTCTTTCTTTTAGATCTAGAGTAAACAAAAAAAAACCTTCTGTCAAATGTTGATCTTTTATATATAATATCAAATTCACTGCCGTGGTTTTTGGGAGGTTGCCTGGATCACATTTTTTAACTTGAGAGAATTCCATATCTTAAAAGGACTCCGTTGTGTTAGCACGATCTCTGTCCTGTGACTTTTCTCCCTCAGGCTAGTTTGTCCTGTGCTGCAGTTAGAAGAGTTTCAAATGTTGGGTATCCAATTTCACTGCTGTAGGAAGGAGAGTCTTCCGGAGGTTGTTTGCCACAATTATGTTCATAAATGTTTAACCCAAAGTCAAATGCTTCAGGTGCTGACACTACTCTAATAGAAAAGCTATTTCTTTCTCTCAGTCTCCAGTCAAACCTATAGATATGCATTGATTAATTAATTGCTAGATTTTATATGTTGCTTCCATTCATTGCCCCCAGGCTAATCTAAGTTGTTGAGGTTATCTATTATACATTAAATTTTCAGGCCTCTGTTATGTGGAGATCTTTGACTTATGGGAGCAGACCATGAACAGATGAAACTCAGTGTCTTGTATATATAGTGTGTTCTTCGAAAAATGTGTGTGTGTGTGCGTGTATTTGTACAGGGAAGATTGTACAGGAAAATATATGACTCCTGATTTCAATTCGCAGTGTTTGCATAGAGAACAATTGACTCTGGTCGGCTTTTAATGCTACTTTTTCAGATCCAGCATGGAACTTCATTTAGATCTTACTGGTGTTGCTGATGTATCTCGTTGATACTATTCCTCAGAGAATTGTCCCTGATTATGTTGCCAGCTGTTCTAAATACTCTTTGCAGTGAATTTGCAGTGAAGTTCTAGGGCAATCCTGCTTCCCTCTTTGAAACTTAGACAGGGACACCCATCTCATTTGATCAACTGAAGTTTGTTTTTCAGTTATTGGTAGCTTTTCAAGCTTACATATTTCTCCTAGAAAACTTCATTGAATTAAATTGCACAATTACCTTTTAACTTGAATGTAATAATCAGATGTATCCAATTTGCTTATTGTTGAGTTCTTCAGTTCTTTTTGCAATCATCTCAGTTTTTTCTATGCCCCAGTTATTAATCTATCTGAACTTTTGAGATATGAAGACAAAATGATAATTTAATTTGTTTTTCAGTGCAAAAGGTTTCTCAGAAAAAGACATTTTATGACATGGTGAAGCAAATTATAAAGCAGCTAAAATATTCAAATATCTTTCTAGTTTGCTATGTTTTTTTAGTTTTCTGTATTGCCGACTTGTAGTACTTTGTGCAACTGAAGATTGTGCAGAAAGTATAGGTTAATATAATTTTTTAGTTGTTTACCCACTATGTTAAGTGGTTGATCCAAAAAGCTTATCAATTACTATCAATTATTACTACATATTAATAAATGCACATTGAGAAACTAAATTTATGTCTGTATGTACAGCATTTCTCTTATTGTATGACTGTTTCTTGAACTTCTATTTTCCAATTCAAGGTAATTAATATCTTCTAAAAATATTTTTTTCCAAAATGTCCATTAGGAAGTCTGCCACTCGGTTAGGAAATCTTTGCTGGCTGCTGTTTAGTATTCTAGTTCAAAGTTTAGTATTCTAATTCAATGCTGCCTTTACTGATTGGCTGAATCTCTCTGGGATTTCAGATAGAAGTCTTCCACATCTACCACCACTAGCTATCAGCTTTTTGCTTGTTGGTTTCATTCAGAAGGCAGAAAGATCTCCAAAGTCCATTCCCTCTTTCTATAGAGAGAATATGGGGTGGGTGGGTATCTTGTACTAGAAACATCATTCATAGTGAGCATTAAAATAAAGTTTGCACATTCAAATGGGGATTGAATAATAGAAGAAAAATGGAAAAAAGGAAGCAAGATACACTCTCTGAATAATTCTGCCAACATATCTGCTCCCCCACCTCAATGTTATGCTACATTATAGGCGGCCGAAATATAAGTGAACAGAGAGTTAGGATAGCATATTTTTTTGTTTCTGTTGAAAGTCTAACCTTCATCTGTTGCATATACCTATTTGCTAACTACCAGAGGTGGTATTCAGCCAGTTCAGCCCGGTTCTGGCAAACTGGTAGCAGAAATTTTGAGTAGTTCGGAGAGCTGGCAAATACCACTTCTGGTTGGCCCCGCCCTCCCTGTCCTATATTCCCTTGTTTTTTTAGCTCAGCTGATTAGCGTGGCAGAGTGGATTGCTGCACCTCAGCTGAGCTAAATAACAGCTCAGCTCACCAACGCTGACACCAAGGGCGGTCTTTGAGTGCTGCACATGCAAAGTGCACGTTAGGCACGCAAAGCCTTAGGCAGGAAGGAAAAGATTTGGAATCCCACAGCTGGTAACTACCCAGGGACATTTGCATCATAGGTCTTTTCTCTGATGCTTATTAACCATTTAAAAATATTATATATCACTTGCAGTCTTTCCACTGTTCTTCTCCAAAGAAGATGTCGTTTAAAAAAATGGATCCAAGTTGCACCATAGGACTGTATTGTCGTGACGTGCAGGGTTTTGAAAGGACTGCTGAAGAAATAACTAAGGTAAATTTTTAGATGAAGAAACCAAATGTAATTCCCATTTGCTTGGTTCTATTTTATGCTATCATTTTAATTACCAGTATTACCAATAGAATTTAAATTACTGTCATAGTTTGGCCAAACCATTCCCCAAAATAACCCTGTCTCAATGGCTTGTTGTGATCCTATTTAATCTATGCCATTAAAACCTGCAAAAGATTTAGAAACGTCTCAAAGAAAGGATTCAGTAACAAGCAGAGTAATTGTAGCAAGATTTAATATATTTGCAGAACATTATCGCTTTTTCTTATTGAGATTTCACTGCATTTTAAAGTGCATTTTGAAGTGACAGAATATGAATGTAGAAGATATGGACATAAGGGTTCTATCCAAGTTAAATTATTTCTGATACTGTAAGACAGTCTTTCCTAACATGGTAACCCTCTAAATGTCCTGGGGCTGCAAATCTCTGAATTCTGAATGTTCTGGTTCTAGCAAATTAGCAATTTCCAAATAGAGTAAAACTGGTGTAATTCAATCCTTCTCCAGTCAAGTAGAGGTTTATTCCACCAGGTGGCAGCATTTAAACAAAAATATATCTACAGAAATCCCTTTTCCAGTCATTAGCCTGAGGAAGTATATTGTGACAATCAATTTCTAGGGGAGGATTTTAAATGGAAATATTAAATCAAATAAATTGTAGATTATTTCTTCATTAGCTGAAGTATGTTCGTTACATTTATACTTTAAATATTATGGTGTTTTAGCACCACGTTAAACAAAGGTAAGTATTTCCCAGAGCATTTGTTTTAGTGCATTTGAAAAAAATTAAAATAGTTATGCTTATTAAGACATGAAAAGAAAGCTACTATATCCTTGCAATAAAATATTTCATTTTCAATTTATCCATGCTTGCTCCTATCTACTAATCCCTTCATTTTCCTCAAGCTTTCATATATGATTTTGTCCAATTAGATACTTTTATATGTCACTTTATTGGGATGATTAAATGGACTTTTATATTGTACTTTTATTTTCTTCTTTCAGCTTATATGGTATCCCCTCTATAAAATTCAGAGCTATTATCTTTACTTATTTATTAGATGTAAGGATTAGGAAGCTAAACTGCGTAGGTCAAAATAATATACCACAAATACTTTTTAGTATCGCAGGCTGATTCAGACTTGCTTTTTAAAATTATTTGATAATTCAGATTAATCTTTTGTCAAATCTGGGGGGGGGGAAGTAAAATGTATGCTTTATCTTGTGTTATTTTTAACTTTATGTAAAATAACTTCTTGGTGTGTAGGAAGGTAGAGAAAGGGCACTTCTTTCTCTGGAAACGGCTGGAAAGTTCACGAGTGAGATGACATTTGAATTAGAGACTTTAAACCTTATAGTTTGCACTGGCAGTCAAATTCCCAGTAGCTTTCAGATATGAGATTTCTCTCTGTCTCTCCATCTCTCTCTGGAAGGGAGCAACTTTTAAAATTACTTTTCCTCGGGGAAAAAAATCTTCCTGTTATTTCTAATTTTCTGGTTGGAGGGTAACATTTTACATACAATTCATTCCAAAATCATCTCTGTGTGAGAAAAACAGTTGTATTAGAAATCAGCCGTTGATCAGGAATATAGAAAGCTCCAATTTTATTAAGGAGTTGCCTTAATAAAAGGAAAACCATTCTACATGTGGGGAAAAATATCAGATTTGGGTTTATTTTAAAAGCCAGAGTTAGTGCCGTGGTCATCTTCTGGGGACACATTCTTTGCTTCATTGTTGAAAGCCAAGTTCTAGCCGGGATATTTTTAATCAAGAGAAAAGTATATACCAAATGTTTGGAGAATGTCAAAAAGAGGCCATTAAGGTGGTTTTTGTTGGGTAAATGATTTCAGATCAACGGTGGTTTATACAGCTGTCACATATCATAAAGAGTCATCAGTATAGGGAGAACAAAATATTACTAAAATTATTTCCATAAAAATAGCTACTGTAATATTGCGCTGTGGTAAGTTGCCACACATTTTCTTTAAACTTTAATTTATGGGATGGAGTAATTAACTGCAGAAAGTAGAAGCCTCGTCTTGTGACTCAGACAGCATGTAATACTGTATTGCTAGATTAAGCTCAATTTACATTGTCTGGCTAAGTGATCTGTAATGTGGCAGCTATCCTGATCAAAGAGCAAAGTAGTAGTGAGATTCTTACTTGGTGGTGGCTGTCAGGTTATAAGACACCTGTCAATTAATAGGAGGGGTTAGCTCGCCAGCTAATTTCACAGGCTACCAAGCAGGCATCAGAATGCCATGAACTTTTGTTATTGATGGGAGCTGAATTGATCCAGTAGCCAAACAATAAAAAGTATCTACCTAATTATCATGTCCCTTGAGATGCTTTGTCATGAACTGCCACCTTAAAAATGTCCCTTTCTGATTCTCATTTGTACTTCTTTTCTGGATTATCTGGAGGATACAATTCAAGAAGAGTAGAATAAAGTTTAAAACTACAGAGCATGATAAAATTCATAGAATCCGATTTTACTTCAGACAATTTTCCAGGAGCTTCTAAAACACTATCCCATTTGAATAGTTTACTTTTTCCCCTCAATATGTCAGATTAATATTGCTATGAATATTTTTCCGATATAGATTTGGCCAGTCCCTTATGCACTTTATCTGTAGACCAGTACAGTTTCATAACATGGTATTGAAACCATTTATGCAATTTAAATGATTCAAATTGTAAAAGCCCCCAAAGCCGATGCAGAATACTAAATAGAAGTCAGAATATTGTTAGTTCAATTTTGCCTTGCCCAAGAAGTGATTAAATGTTACCTTTAATGGTAAATATTTGTTGACTGTGTTGTCATTATAAATATGGTTTACAGCGTGCGCTTTGCTAAGAAGGAACATGAGAAGAAACAAAAAAAATGAAAGGGGGATGATTTAAATGATTGTGCATTTTGCTTCAGTATGCTTATACTCTTGGCATTGATCTTCTAATTCATGTTCTTTTTTCCCAATACATTTCACTGTAGATTCTAAAATCCTCATCTAAAGAGAAATATCCTTTGTTTACTTTTGTAAGCGGACATTCCAGAGACTATGATTTTGTGGCGAGTCCAGTCCAGGAAGAGAAGACAATGTTCTCTGAAGATGAACACAAAAAGTTGGCGTGTTTTAATAATGAAGACTTTGTCTTGCTATGAGGACATTTTTATTTATTCATTTAAGTATTTTTATGCTCAATCTTCACAGATGCTACAAAATGGCTTAACTAAAAGCTGCAAGCAACATAAATTAAAAGTAATAAAAACTTGTGGCAATAAGCAGTAGACTACCAAGAATTGTCATCACTAATCAGTTGTCGAAAACTTGTTTGACTTCCAGCCAAGGAGATCCTAGACTAAGCACCACTGCCCAGTAATTTTTGCTTTGTATAACCATGCACAACACTTCAATTGCGAAGTGACAGAATGGACACTCAGTGGTGACTCAAGTCTAGCCTACAAGATTAGAATCATCAATCTTTCCAGCAGTGAATTCCAAGTGCAGGAGATATTAAGCCCAAACGTTCTGAAGTCTGTTAGTTTAGGTAAAAAAGAAAAAAAAATTGGACAGGAGAAATTCCTCATATGAACAACATAAAGCAATATCACATGAAATGTTTAAATATTCACTTTAGTTGATAAAAATATAAGGTTTACCAAACAAAGTATCTGTTGGCATAAAATTAGTAAAAACAGACTTGTAGTTAATATGTAAAAAGCTTAGGAATCAGTAGTTCTTTTCTTGATGGTTTAAAGAAATAAACTAAAGGGAACCCAGAACCTGTACTGTGAAAGGCTAATTAAACTTGTGAAAGATGATAAAAGACCATCTATGCTGAAGGCCTACAATGCTCAGTGTTGAAGATGTGCTCAGGAACATCTTAACAATTTGCTCATCATAATAGTCAAGTTTGGCCCATTCTAAACACACTTCATAAATTGTAGAGCACCTTCCGTACATTAGGCTTCTATAGAGAAGCCCTTGACCAGATCCATCACTTAGCCGAGGGAAAAAGATATACCTTATGTGTATAGCAACAAGTATGCCTCCTGGCCCATGGGCATTAGAAAGTCAAGAAGGGTGTCAAGAGCTTCTGACACCTATTAGGCCAAGTGGCTTAGGACTAGTTGTCAGTTCTAAACTGCCTGACCTATTGTAGTATATCTCTAATCCTATAGTCTGCAATTATTGGTAAATACACTGATATAACCATTATATAGTGTTGCTTTGCAGAACTGCATTGAGCTGCACAAACTTCCTTAAAGCACTATACCGGCAGGTGACATTTTGGGGACCATCTGTCCTAAAAATGCACTTTTGTAAAAAAAAAAAAAAAGGAAAAAAAACCTAGGATGATCATATTAGCTAACAGGTAGCATTTAAATGTATTGATCACTGTGGTACTGTATCCACCTGGCTCCCAACAAATTCAAATGGTAGCATTTGAAGAGAAGTGATGTCTCCTTCAGTATCCGTCAAATCTATTGAATATTTATGTTCTCACAGAATCAAGAGTAGGTCTTTTAAAACATTTTAAAATGTATATAACAACTTATTTTATTAATAGATGAACATAATGGCAGGCGATAAAAGGAAGCTTATTGATATATGGTTAAATAGTGATGTGTTAGGCTAGTTTTCTCATATTTTTAGCTTTTCAACAATTTCTATTTTGAATTCAAATCAATTCTTGACTGTAAAAGGATTCATGGCAATGTGATTATCTTTCTACTAAGGTACACTGCGTATTTTAAAAATATTTTTGATAACTTGATAAGACACCCTAGGATTGAAGTATTCCAAGGACCATGACATGCTTCAACTGATCCTCACTTAACTAATTTAAGACCAAGAAATTGGCTAGTTTGCAAGAGCGTAGAGTTTGTTAGAAACCAATACTTAGAATATATTGTTAAAAACCTAGGCTTAATGTGCATAAAGAACCAGGGAATCAAAATATTAGTGTTATTTTGTGTCAATCCCTATAATGTTTAATGGTGTAATCATGAAATTTCAGGCAGAGTATTGTGGTCTAATGTATTTTTACTTTTTACCAGTGATGCAAACTAAAGAGTGAGTAAAGGTTATTATTTAACAATATGATCTTATAATAACTACTCATAGTTCTAATTGAAATCTAACAAGAAATTTTAATATAATATTGGCTCCCTCCTCTCATTTTGTTACTGTTAAACTACAGCCTGTGATATTGGATACAAACAATGCTCTTAACATCAAAAGTCTTAAATATAAATCTAAAATGGTAGAGTGAGACACCAGCAGCGGACATACAGGTATATTACAATGTGATTTTATGAAATTTTATAGATCTTTGCATCTCTGGAAGAACTGATCCCTTATATAAACAAGGTTTCATTTCATTTAAATTTAAGGATTTAAAATTCAGATTTTTTAACAGAGATTATTTCACTCCACTTTCTAAAGAAATAAGCATTGCAAAATGCTCTTGTAACCAATGCTAGTTACAAGAAGAAAGAAAAAAGAAGTCCTTTAATTCTCTAGGTCCTAAATCACACATGTTTTATAGATTAAAATACTGGTTCAAACTGTTCCTGGAAACCTACGTACTACTAATCAGTCTAGTCTAGTTAAAACAGGGATTATGATGCTGTAGTGATGATTTGTCATTCGCATTTTGGACAAACTATAGTTTCTGAATGGCAAACTCTTCAAAGGCAGGGCCCATACAGACATGTTAGAGTATTTCAACCAGTGACAAATGTTTAGTCCCTGTTGTAAGGGCCATTTCAAACCTTCACTTTTTAAATTATATAGTTACATCAGCATCCACAGAACGATTCCAATCAAACATGAGATAAGGAATTAATACACATCCTTTCCATTTTGCTTATGGGAGGTTTAAAACTATTGGATTATTGTAACAATTCCATAGCAGCCCAGAAGATGACATTACCCTGAACTCAACTACTTCAGGCACTGTTACCATCATAAGTTACTTTGCAAAATAACACTTTTATCAATTCAGTTTTGAAGCTTGAAAGCATCATTTCATTAGCAAAAGCTAATATATAAAACTAGTAGTTTCATCTGCATTGGGGACCAATTTCATGTTAGATTCATTCCTAAACTCATCCCTAGAGGTCTGTGGTGCAGTGGTGAAAAGTTAAATTACCAAGTTACCATAAATTGTTTTTTAGTAACTACAGGGGCCTTTAATTTGAAACCATGTTAATTACATGGGGATTTCTTGTTACCTCTCTTGCATTATCTCTCTCAAATCTCTGCAATTAATTTGTGTCATTATTGTTGCTGCTGCTTTCAAACAAACCATACTAGAATTCGTTATCACAAACCCAGCTGGTATCTTAAAGATATCTTTGTAAATCAAAACCTGGCTTTAGTTACTTAAGACACATAGAGTGAAGGTTTAAGATGTGCTTTAAACAACTAGGATGGGAAAAACTATTGCTAGATTATAAACCCAGTCTGCAGTTCTATCTTTAGAACTGGCCAGTTTTGTTTGGTCTACTATGTATCCAATTAAAAAATGTGCCAGATCTTGTAATGACATCCCTTTCATTTTTGCCATGCATTTGAGGCAAAAAGAACAACTTTTAGAGTAAGTAATCTTACCATCTGCTAATTTTTGCAAACATTTGATTCCCCATCCATGATTTGCATGAAAAAAAGATCATGCTTTGAATTATCTTCAGATAGATAAAGACACACCTTTTATATAATTTAAGCCTGAGGAAATACCTTGTAATCTGTTACATCCTGCAAAAACTTGCCAATCAATGTCAGCCTTCCAGTCTTGTGGAATTCATTAATTTCACCATGCAGATTTACTTTCTCCCCTGCTTTTCTTTGCCACTGAGAAGGCAGCTGCTCTTATAGCATGCTAAGAATATCAAACCAATATATGTGTGGTCCTAAACCAGTTCTTTGAGCTAAAAATAACTGCTCCTCTAGTTTTTAGTTGTAATATATACTCATACAGTAACACAATAGCAACAGATAAATTTTGTGGTGTCACAAAGAAGTTGCCTACAAATGCCATTTATCTATTGATTGTAATGGTATCCATTCATCCATATTCTCATTTTAGAAATTCTAATAAACTAGTTCTGCTGGACTCAAGTTGTCTTAAAGGTTTCCTGTATCTTGAAAGTATGAACTTGATAAAGACTAAATATCAATGCCCTTCCATGGTTTGTTCTGAAGATAAGCTCTAAATATTACATTGTGGAATATGTTCTGTTTTTTGTAATGGTGACCTTCTACAAATCTCTAAACTGCAGGGATTAGATTTGGAGAAAGCTGCAGAAATACCTTTTTTGAATCTGAGTGAGCAAATCTCAGTTATCTGTTTTGCAAAACATAACTATGGGTATACTCAGAATCTCCCCCCCCCCAAAAAAAAATTAAGGGAACAAGTTAGATACTCTCTAAAGAAGCATTCTGATGGGTTAGTGTCATAGGTTCTCTTTAACTACACTCAATTTGGTGGACTGAAGACACAAAGGAGCCAACAGTAGCATAAGTCCCTAGAAAACACACACATTCATGAGCTAATCACCACTCCACTTTTCCCCACTATTACTACTACTCCTGATACACCAACTACTAGAGAAAATGCTTTCTAGCTGCTTTAGACTGCTGCGTTCCCCTACACCAGTGTTTTTCAACCTTTTTTTGTGCAAAGGCACACTTTTTTCATGAAAAAA